ACCTAGCGAGAGTATAATCAACAAGATGGAACATTTAGGAGATTATTCAGGAGAGCTTTTTTACACAGATCATTAGGGCTGTACAGTCATGAAATGTTTCGGAAAGATGCTCTGGTACTGAGTTCCGGAACGGCGCGACGACGGGAGGGCGGGTGCTCAATGTGCTCCGAGCCTCCTGAACCTCTATTGCTTTTTTTGAGCCTCCCAGGAGCTGGGAGAGCTCGACCAGCACTTTTAGACAAAGTGCAGGAGCAGGGGGCTTGTTTCTGCCCTTCCCGTAACCTGGCAAGTGCAGGGGGGTGACAGGGTTTTCCCCGAAGCAGGAGTGATAGACGGAAAGAACATGGCCGCCATGTTCGGTTTAGACGCTGCCTCCGGTTTTTAAACTTTTTTTTCCTGTTTTCGTTGTTGTTTATTCGATGCTTCACATTGGGAAAAAAACCCTTGTCTTTTCTTCTGCGCATATATTGGTCAAGTTGATTATATACCCCGGATGAACTTTTTTCCATGTACATGAAGAAAGCGGCCACAGAAAGTGTTGGGAAACTAAGAGTGAGGAGACCTGAGAGGGGTAAGAAAAACTGATTAAAGTATTACTACCCTTTAAAACCTATGCAACTTGGCATTTGGATCTTCCTAATTGGAAAGTTATGTGTGTTAGAGGGTTGAAGTGAAGAAATGGAGGTAATAGACGTGAAAGAAAAGATGGAGGGAGATGTAAAACTTTGCGATCTTACGAGGAAACAGTGGGAACATTTTCAAAAGCAGTTGGTAGAAGAAGCGATACAAACATTTAAAATGACTTGTGAAAACTTGTTGAGAAATGCCCACAATGATCTGTCAGAGGTACAGGAAGACAAAGAAAAAATACAGGGAACTTAAAGGAATGACAAACTGCAGGAAAGAAAACAGGACAGAGTCATCAGTTGTTCAGACTTTATTTATAAAAGAAACGTTACAGGAGCCAGATGCTGCTAAGGTTTCTGCGGTGGAGCAAGGAAAACTGGAAACAGGACGAGTACAAAAAGGGCTGTTGAGCCCATTTAAGAGAAAAAGGAGGAAGCAAGCAAGAGGGGGGGAAGTAAAGAAAGGAATAAAGAAACATGAAGTTCTCAACCAACTAAATACTTGAGACTATGGAGAGGAAAATCTGGAAATTAAAACGCAGGAGTATAAAGACAGACGACATATAGAAGAGAACAGAAATAATCAAGAGAAAAAAGAACTGGAATACAGTATTGTGGCAAGGATTACGTTTGTAAAATTAAAAACTATTACTCTCCTTGCTTTCTGATTCATGTCCGGAGTCTGGAAACCCTATATGATAGCTGAATAAATGTGGTATGATATCTGTTTTGTGTGGGATGGGGTAAGAATAAAAGTGGGTACTTCTAAGTGAGTGTAGATAAACTTACAATAAAGTAACTGGAAATGCAATGTATGAAATGGCAGCAATTTAGTCAAATTGTTAAGGATTAGTAGGTTTAGGATTTATTATGTTACTATATAAATTATTTTTGGAATGGTACTTGTCCTAGAGAATTTAAAAAGAGTCTCATGAGTAGAGTAATTATGAGATTGACGAGATGAGTAGGCCAGTCGATGATATGTTTATAGAATTAAGGTAGTAAAAGTTATGTTGATACATAGTCTTGAATAGCTTAACTGACTGTGTGCCTCAAAATTTTGAGATATATATGTGTAATGGTAGGAAGGTAGATGGGGTATTTGAGAACTATGAATATCAGAAGAATTGATGATGATATGGAGGGAAATAAGGCTGGTTAGTATATGAATAGGAATATACTTTACAATGGTAGTAATATCTCTAGGATTATGATATAGTGAACATATTTGTTTTTGTTTTGTTTTTTGTATTTACTTTTGGGATGATATTTTACATGACTGCAAAGCTAAGTTAAAATGGATTTTATTGTTAGTAAGAGTGGTATTACTATCAATATGATGACCAA